TGATTATGTTTGGTTTTATTTGTTATAGTAGTATATACTAGTGTTTATTTAGTGTTAGTTTGGAATGGTGTAGTTAAGTATTAAGGACTGTTATAGTTCTGGTTCTTCGAAAAACTCAATAGTTTAGACAGTCTTAGAGTTAGTTATTTGCTTTTGTGTATGTATTTTTCATGAATGCCAGAGGTACTCGAAATGTTGTTAAAAGAAAAACGTTTTTTTGTTTTGTAAAAAACTGTGTGCTGAGTTTTATTTTTTACAGGAAACGCATGCATATTGAAACTAAATTTTATAAATAATTGAGAAATATTAAAGCAAAAAGGAAAATATGATACGTGTAAAATATACAATTTGATCACATAATTACTTAATTACCTCTGGTAGTTAAATGCTTTTTTCTGCTGCGCTTTTTTCTCTTGTACATGATTCTGATCCTCTTGTTGTATTTGTATCTGTAAATTCTATATGTTTAATAAAAAAAATAAAAAACTGTGACCTTTCTGAAAGCAGCCCTGAAACCTAACATTTATTTTGGTTATGTTGTGGTTTATAAACATTCTGGACTGTTTTACAAACTTATAAAAAGAAAGAGACTAATACTGATATTAAGTTTAAATAAATACATTTATGTTACATTTTAATCCCATTGAAAGTAAAATGAATATACCGTTTGTATTTTTTTAATTATTATGCTTGCACGATATAATTATTAACGGAATGGCGTGGGGGAAGACCATGTTTGAACAGTTTAAAACAGATGTAAAGACGTACCGTGTCTAGTTGTAAGAACGTTGAAGCATGGACGGACCTTATCTGCATTTACCTTGTAAATGTACATGTATTATTGCATGTACCCTGACAATACGATTGCTACCTTATGTTTTCTTGTAGTTTTTGGTCTCATAAAAAATACAAAAGACGCGAGTCGATTACGTCAAAATGTTGTCGCCCACAGGGCTTATGGGTAATGTAGTTCACTTGGCTGCCCTGCCCATGTGTTTCGCTGATTTGATTGAACATTAGAATTAATTATTTTAATAGTGTATTTCAGCGTATTTATCGTGTCTTGTATTTCTATGTCTCTCTTATGTGTTCCCTTGTGTGTATGTTTTCTTGTATTTCACGTGTCTGCAGCGCTGGTTTATCGACCCGGCACATAAAGCAAACCCACTGTCCTCGTGTTTCTTAGCTCCCGTCTTGTTTGCAAACTTTTCTCCTGTGTTTATTTAACTTTGTCAATAAAACGTGCTTGCCGTGGCAACGGAGCTGTAAAAGTTGTTGCGATCTGATCTCCAGCGGTTAAGCAAGTACCCCAGGAAACCGGACCTTAAAGATAAGTAAACCTTATCTTTATTTGCTTGTATAATGTACCCCGGTGATCTGTGATGTACTCCTGTGTGCATTGAATAGCATTTTTACTATTTGTTAAAGCAGAGAAAACACAATAAGGTCGAATTAATCAGCAACGTGAGGTGACTCGCCAGTAAACAAACTCTCCAGCGACGGACGTCTGGATTTCAATAACTCTCTGCTCTGCAATACGGTTTTCCAGGAGTCCGCAGTGCTTGACGAGCAGAAAGCGGAACCACAGCATCCTGGGCCGTGGCTCCACACCGACCTCAGCGACGGACCGGCTGTCGCGCTAATTACGCATCAGATCCGGATCCGTCTCAGTTAAGTGACGTCAAATGAGCGACGCAGGGCTTGTCCAATCACCGCCGTTGGCTGGAAAAGGAGGGACTTCCTTTTAGTTGGGGTGAGTGACACCGCTCCTAGCCAATCACCACGGACTTCCGTGTTCTTACACGGAAATACCGCCCTCACGTTGAGTGACTCGGCTCTCGTCCAATCACAATTACAGTCCCGGGACTTTACCGAATTACGGTGGGCGGTGACACTTCCGAGAAATGTCCACTGGGCGGCGAC